AGGTAGGGGTATTTAGGCAAGCTAATACGGGCGACATCAATTCTGAACCACAACAGACACAGAACCCTAGGAAGACTCTCTTTCTCTAATTGGTGGCTAATTTGTCGGCCAACAAGACTGAAAGCCCAAGGCAAAGATCGTAAAAAGGAAACAGCGCAGATTTAATAGGAATTTATAGCCCCAGAAGTTAGAATCAATATGGGGAAACATATTTATTCTTATCTTTGGAAATCACAGAGGGAAAAAATGTCACTGTCAGTGTGTGCAACAAATTTGGAACTCAAAACAATAACCACCTGTCTACTTCTGTCAAATATGTAGCCATAAGAACATTAGAGAGAGAGGGGAAAAAGCGTATTTTATTTATTTCAGGTTTCAGGAGCAAAAATCCAGGAATCTCGTAATTCCTCGGATTTCCAGCTTATGTTTTTCTTCGGGCTTATTTTTATGAGAACAAAAACCAAGAGCTATTGGTTAAAAGCAGCCACTGTGTTTTTTTTTTCTGTACACCCCATTCAAGTTTGGCTATATGGGGTAGCTGTGGGGAGCAAAACTAATAAATACATCTTTTTATTACTTTTTTGAAGTTTGTTTTTCACCGTGGATTTGTACAGGGTATGCACTAATAAGAGAGCGACATAATATAGAAAGAGGTATAGAAACAAAGAAAAAACGAAAGAGAACAAAATAAAGGATAAACGAGAGAAAAAAGAAAGATAGAGAAAGAAAAAAGAAAGAAAGAAAGAACGAAAGAAAGAAAAAAAAAGAAAGAATGAACGAAAGAAAGAGAGGGGGGGGCAAAAACAGAAAGAAACAAAGGAAGAAAGAAAGAAAGAAAGAAAGAAAGGTGGTACGGAACATTGTAACAAACAGAATCGAGTACCCTGTGATCTGAAGGTAGGTCAATGTGGCCATTATGAATCACCTGGATTCTCTCTCTCTCTCTCTCTCTCTCTCTCTCTCTCTCTCTCTCTCTCTCTCTCTCCCCTCTCTCTCCCTCAGGGCGGACTCAAAGCTGTGGTGTGGTCAGACACATTCCAGACGTTTATCGTGATGGCGGGCCTGATCGCTGTCATCATCCGGGGAACTGACGAGGTGGGCGGGATCTCCGAGGTCTGGAGGCTTGCGGAGGAGGGAGGCAGGATCTTCTTCTTGGAGTACGTTATGTGTGTGTGTGTGTGTGT